GCTCAGCCACAGACATGAGTATGCAGCTCAGGGAGTGATGTCGTGCGGCTGCAGGCATGGGGGTGGCGCTCTGCAAAACGGGGGACAGACATTCAGGGAGGCTGCTCCCGCTGCTGCTGCAGACACGTCTGCTGTTTCCTGCCAGGCCTCAGGACTCCTCTGGACTGCAGTCACCCCAGACAGGAGGCCCCTGGAGAAGGCTGCTTATGCCACCCCCATGCAAAACTGACCACTCGCCTGTGCCACAGCCATGGTCAACGTCCCCTCAAATCTCTCCCGGTCCCATTTACAGAGCCAGGAGCAAGTGCACATAAGCTCCCTCACTGCCTGAATTCTGGGCTTTGCTTCTACCCCCAAAGCCATGGTGCTGACAAACCACAGAAGGGAAACCGAGAAATTTTTGGATCTCTGTGCCCAGGAGCTGAGGGAAGAGAGGTCATTGCTGGACACGGCTCCACTGTGTGGACATGCTAGGCTTGGCCCAGCTAGGCTACTGTTGACAGACATTTGAGCTGTTTCCAGTTTGGTGCCGCTGTAATAAAGTGTCTATGAACATCTTTGTATGTGTCTTTGGGCATCCTTGTAAGATTCTGTGGGGGGGAAAAAGTATCATTGGGTAAAAATGTCTGAGAGCCCAGATTTTTGACTTCAATACACTGTACGTAGCATTCATGCACAAAGTACTTTGATCTTAAGCAGCAGGACAGAGAAGAACACCCCTGGGGGTGAAGCAAATGTACAGATACATGGAAATTTACAAAGCGCTTAGGAAAATCGCGACTCTTACAAGTGAACTAGAGAGGGAGGTGTGTGTGGTGCAGACTTACTGTCACTGCTACAGGTGGGTCTCGGAATCTCCTGGGTGGCTTACCCAAAGTAAGTGTGAGAGGACCACTGGTCCAAAATATTTGGGGAGGAGGGTAGGAAATGGTGAGAGATGAGGCTGGAAAAATAGATGAGGGTCAAACTGCACAGGCCTTGGATGCCATGCTGAAGTTGCATCCACATGCCAGGTGGCAGGCATGACAAAGCTGGCCCTGTCACCTACTGGCTCCTTCTCCTGCGGCTCCTTAGCCCTCAAGGGTGTCAGGCAGGCGGACAGGAGCATGGAGCTCCACACCGAGCTAACTGTGTCCATTAGTGGGACAGGAAGGTGAGGGCCAGGTCTCAAGATGATCTGCCACTTGCCAGCTGCAGGACCTCAGGAATATTGTGCAGCCTTTCTGCATCTCTGTTTGCTCATCTGCAAAGTGGGGGCATTCAGCACTTTTATATGCCTGCACTGTTCGGAAGATTCAATGAAAACCTGCTTAGAAGTGTGTGGCACACAGCAGGTACTCTGCACACAGCTGACACAATTCATGGACAGTGCTCCAGTGTTACAGGTTGAAAGCACACAGTCAGCTCATGGCTGTACGCACGTGGCCTGGCACTGACAAATGGCAGATGCTCACGCCATGGGCAAACACTCCCCCCTCCCCACAGCCCATGGCAGACAGGCACTTAGAGAGCCAACGCCTGAGACACTTCCTGCCCAGCAACTGTCCAAGACGTACTCACTAGCAACCCAGTACTTCTTAGTTATAGAAAGGAGACAGGAAATTAATGGGTCTCAAAGTGGCTTCAAATCAGCTTTGCTTTAGTGACTCTCAGTCGGACGTGTTGCTCAAATCTTCAGACCTGCTTGCAGCGTCAAAGGGAGGTGCTGCCTTTGGGACTGGGCTCCTCTCCTCGGGGGCTGGGGAGACGAGAGCAGCAGGGCCTGGGAGCGTCTCAGAAGAATGGGTGCCAGGCACAGTGTCCTGTGAAAATGCAGGGAAGGTCCGCGTGAGGGCCTGGGCATGATCACCTACACAGTGAAATGACGGGTAGCCAGGCCTGGGGCAGACCAGTCAAAACTGGCCGAGGCAGTTCTCATAGCAGTGACCTGGTGGTTTGAATCAAAATTCACCACTGCAGCTCTCTGATCCTAGGTTACTGTGGAGTAGCCGCTCTCTCGTTTCTCTGGTGAAACAAACAATAATGGCAAAAAAAAAAAAAAAAAAAAGGAGCCCAGCGCACGACCTTACCTCCACGTACAGGAGGGGGAAGATCCCGACCTTGTCGCCCAGCATGCCTTCTGCCCAGTTATCGTCCACTCTTCTGAGCACAGTCAAAATTTCATCCTGAGATTCCCAGAGCCCACAATGGAGACAAGCACATGGACACACACACAGAACAAAAAAGAAAACGGAGACGGTTAGTATTGTTGAGGCTAATGAGAGACTCTACGGAATGATTCGGAGATGGTGTGTTATCCATTCATTTTCTGGCACATGAAACTTCCATCCCTGCCCAGGTTCTCCCTCCCTTCCTCTCTGAGGCCACTGATCATAGTTGCAAAGATCCCAGATGAAAAGCCTGGCAACTTACAATACAGTTAGCATTTAAAACTCATGTTCCTATCATTTATTTAATGAAATAAACATTTTGAATGAAAATAAATCCAGCTAAGTATAAAATGTTTTAAGTTTCTGGCTCCATCAAAGAACAAAAAAATAACCCAACTACGTTTGTTTACAGTCATGGGCACGTAAAGCTCTGAATAACCTCTTAGATTCTTTGGCATGTCAGACACCACCCAGTAGAGATGCACACAATGGAAACAGATGGAAGGAGAAAGGAAGAGGCAAAGAGAAGGAGGAAGTAGCACTTTTAGGGAGCTGAGGCTGGTCAGCAGGTGGTGGGCGAGGAACGAGATGCTGAGGACACCTTCGCAGGTGCAAGAGCCACGGGCACAAATGACAGGGCCATGTGCGTGGGGGTGGGAGACAGAAGGACTGAGAGAAGATGGGGAACAATAGGGGGGAGAACAGAGAGGAGCCCGGGGGGAAGAGAGATGTAGCGAGCATCAAGAGGGACAGAGACCACCCCATGACAGCCTGGGGCAGAACCGATGTCCACACTGGGGCGTTTGGTTAGTCTCTGTCCCCTCTCCATAACCGCCCTTCCTTCAGCAACCAGGGTGCATCCTGGACATCCCCCTCCCAGCCAAGCCCCCCGTCATTGGAATCTGCAATCTGCTAGAAGACCAGCTGGCCCACCACAGACTCTCGTGCCAAGGGCAGCCCCATGGAGCAATCTCTATTAGATTTTCATGTACCGTCTGCCCCTCCAAACAGCCGTCGCACCGTAATGTGAAGCAATAATATGGGGTTACGCAGAGACATTTTAGGTCAGGAGACTGCTCATCTAAGGTGATACAGAATGCTCTCAGGGAGCCAGATATGCCTTTCCAAGGACACACAGAGGGAGAAGCAGGGATGGGCTCTGCACTGGGCAGTTCCTCCAAGGTCTCCCCAAACCTCCCTCTCCTGTGAGCTCAGGGCAGAGTGAGGGCGATCACGGGCAATCGCACGCTTCCTCTCCCTGTCCTCACCCTCTATTCTCCAGCTTAAAAAACACCAAGCAATAAAATTATTTGTGATGTTAGAATACCTGTTTTTCCAATGGATATTACTGGCCAGACAATGCTACAGGCATCCTAGGGGACTCAAACCCCTTCCCATGGTGCAAGGCTAGCAGCCTCAGGCTGGCACAACAGGCAGAGGG